GTTATATAAATGTATACAATTTAATTATTTATTAAAGCCATTTGCATATATAGTCCTTAAACCATTAGCATGCATATTAAATTCGGTTAAGTCATCTTTAGTTTTCTATTCTTGAACATACATACATATATCATCTTTTATCCTATAGTCCCTACTTTAAGTCCCACTTGAAGTCCTCTATTTATTAAGCCCTAAGGCTCAGCGCAAGTCAACCTTATAGCTCAACTCACCGAGGAAAGGCCACCGTGCCCTCATCTATAGCATAGAGCGTAACATCATGAGCTGTCAGATTGCCCAAGTACTCGAAGAATTCGTTCTCAATGCCCTCGGGCAAGGTTTGACGCAGGTATTCAATATCTACAAACGAAACAAAAATTTATTCAAAACCTTTTACATTATAGGAAATTTAGCAAACTCACCGCTCTGCGAATAGTGAAAGCTATCCAGAAACTTGAGACACTCCTCCAGCCCCGCGAATATGGTAAACTCTCCGTGGAATGGATTATTGCGAAAGAATAGATCAAACACGGCCTGATCATCCGTTTTGTCCGATTTCCAGTAGGCATAGGCCATTGTTATTTGGTATAAATCTGCGATGAAGTAAAAGTAATTGAGTACATCAAGATAATGCCGATAAGCCAATAAGCAATAGACAGCCTTTTAGATTAGTTAAAATGATATGAGACTGGTTATTGACTCAGTGGTAAAACGAACCCACCCGTGCGATAAGATAAGCTCAAAGTTCAAAATTTTTTGCATAATTACGCAGACAAAATGCAAATACAACAAGATACAGAGATCATGACAATCTTTCTAGCTCTGTATAATATAGACGAAAATAGAATAACGCTAAAAATGTAAATGCCAAACGGGAGTTGATACGACTTTAAATAGCATATTGAATCAGTTGAGCTACAGAGAAAAAGCAATAAAATTAGACGAATATAAAACCAAACTAAATGAAACAGTTGTAATAGTAAACACAATTACGACACAAAAAATAAGACTATAATGTGTAAATATTTTATCTATTAATCAATATATATATTTATCTATCACAATCTCAACATCTCAACATTTATATCAATTTATTTATATAGAAGTCTAAGCACGTATACCTCTTTATATTTGTCAGAGTATTTATATAAATATATATGTATATATCATTATCAATACATGTCAATGTAAGTATAGTTATTAAATATTTGTATACTCTAAAGGCAATGCCATATGGAAGATAGAAATTCAGCTGTGCAAAACGACAAGTTGAGTAGATCCAGCCATGTCTTTCGTTTCGTCAGTGTAAGATCCTTAAGATCTTAAGGGCTATACGGGCTAGATGCTTGAAATTTTCATATTACAAGATTTCGTTCCAGAATCCAAGCATATATAAATTTCTCTTCTCAAGTGACTCACTTTATCAACAACTGTGATTACATGAGATATATGTATATAAAGAGCAATGAGTCAGAGTAGGAGGCATGATTTTATTTTCTAAAATATATTATATCGTTTTTTTTTTTTTTTTTTTTGTGGTCAATTCGTGTTTAGTGAGAAAATATACGAATCAAAGCTTAAAAAAATGAACAGCTATTCATAAATAAGGAAATATTAAATACATTTTTGTTTTTTATTAGATCGTGAAATTGCAACATGCCTAAACATGGATAAAAAATTTAATTATAATTTCAATAAGAATGTTTTATCTATTTGAATCTATATCAAAACTAAAATATATAACAGCTTTTGCTGAAATTATGAAAGAAAACCCGTTTTGAAAGAAATGTATTTTGTTATTCATGCGAAAAAAAAAGCAAAAGTAATATGATTCTGTTGCTTTTCTTTTTCTAAACAAAAAGTTGTCGTATTTTTTTGTTTACTACAGCACTTTTATTTTCATGAACCTATAAACACTTATAAAAATGCTACAACTCAATATCAATATCAATATCACAATATATATACCAATCTACACGCGGCTGTATATCTTTTTATAATACATAGATCTTAAAAATAATTTTGCATTAAATATACTGCTTTATAAAATACGAATAAATTTTGTTTTTAATTGAGATGTGTTTCGTTTAAAAAAATATTTCTTTTTTTCGATGCGAGTACTATATAAATAAAATCAAAATTTTGTTGTAGCTCACCAGTTAGTAGGGGCTGGACAACTCCATTCTGGTTCATGCGTCCGCGATCCATAAATTGGCCGCCCGTATTGCAGCTCATTTCACGGTCATTCATGATCAAAAGTTTATATATATATTTTCGTTGTTGCTGTTATTTATTGTTGTTTGTTGTATTTTGTTTGTTGTTGACGATGGCACGTTTATAGGTCATTCACATACACAAATCGTGGCCAATGAATGAGACTTAATTAAATATTCTTGAAAATTTAATTTCAAAATATTGCTGAGATTAAAAGTCTGTAGTATATATACACATATATACTATAAGCAAATACTTGTATACATATATGTGGTTTAAGATATCTGAAAATTGAGAGCTTTAAAAAACTGTTTCGAGCCTCGTTCAATGACGTAAGCACAGCTTGTATTTAAATACTGGGTTAATTAAGTGCGAAAAAAATGGCTAAAGTTTATAGTATAAGAATTGCGAATGAAAAAATAGTAAAAAAAAAACAACAAAACTGTCAGTTATCAATTAGTTTTTTGTTTTTTTTTTTTTTTCTTTTTCTCTTTTTGCATACGTCTTTCTTATCAATTGGTTTATCACTGCGAGCGAGTGGGAGCAGGAAGGCCTAAGGTGCAATGATTATTAGGAAAACAAACACTTTTCAAATTGAAATCACTTTTTTTGCCATTCAGAATTTATCGCGCGAGCTAAACTTTTTCGCTAAGCGTTTCAAGCTCAACTGAAAACACACAAATCGCGAGCAAGTTGAAAAATACGAGAAAAAAAAGAAAAAAAACATCAACAGAAAAATGTTAGCTGCGCACAGGGGAGAGCGCGCGTTTAGCGTTTGCTGGGTTGCAGCATACGAAATGTGCTGGAAAATTTGTTTGCTGGGTGAATTTGTTGATTGTTGTTACTTAGCAGCCGGGCCAGTGTGCGAGAGAGAGAGAGAGAGGGAGGCAGCGCATTGAGAGCAGTCAGAGTGAGTGGGATAAATGGGATGAGTAAATGAGGGTTTGGCGCGCTGTTTTTTTTTTTTTTGTCTGTGCATTGGGTTTGTTTATTTCGGCTGCTGCTGCTGCGGAAATCTATTGATTACACACGTGAGGCGAAGAGGCGCTGCTGTAGTTTGTCTTTGATTCACAACATGTTGCACACAGGCAGCCGTCGCAGCAGCGCAGGCATTAAGCCAGTGAAGGTTGCCTGAAGGTCGGCGGGGCGTACTCTCACACACCCAAATCCGCGCGCGCGGGCAAGTCAAGAGACGTGCTCAAAGGAGAAAGACAATAAAATAATAAAAAAAACACCAATTGTGTGTACATTTTTTTCAGTCACTGTGCGATAGCAAAGGATCTAATGCAATGGCTGCAACTGCTACAGCACACACTTTCACTTTTTGCGCACGTTTCAATTCATGATTTATCAAATTTACGGCGCTGAACTTTTTTTTAATTTTTTGTTACTAGAGAATGCGCATAGAACGCGACCAGCTGTGCACAATTGTAATTTCTGAACTTTTTTTAACATTAAAGCATTCGCCTAGGTACAGTTATTTATTGCCTGTAGCACAGACGGCAGCTCGTCGTTCTTGTTTGTGTAGTTTTATTAAACTTTACTGCAAGAGTTAAAATAACTAAACAAATCCGTATGCGACTTGCAAGCGCTCTCAGCTGATAAGAGAGCGGGGCTGCCAACTTGCTGTAATGCGCTCTTATAGGTCAGATAAAAAAATGCGCTGAGATTTGTTCTGCTGTCACAGCTGTTAAAGTTGCATGAGTACGCCAAGTGGATTTAAAATATTGTAATAAGATAAAAAATGGATTATTTGAATTCCTCAATGGTTGGCTGTTTAAAGAAAAATTAAAAAAAAAAATGTATATATATTTTCAATGCATTTGCGTTTGCTTACAAACTTATGCATCCTCTATCCTAATGCGCCATAGACATTGTGACGTCACGTTACTTGGAAATACTCGCCTTTTGCTTGCAAAGAACATTCAACGCTGAAAACTATTTTATTTTTTTTCGTCAATTTGCGCTATAGATTATATAAACTTTGTTGGTTTGTTGGTTAGTGATAGAATGCAACAACTATGACGTCACATTCTACAGTTTTACAAATCCGCACCACTTTAACCATTGAACTCATTGTTTTCAGTGTTGTAAAAAGTACAAAAAGCTACACCAAATAAACCGCCTTTTATTCAACCTCAGTTTCTGCATTATTTACATCCGCTGGCCAATCCAAATCGATGCCAACCACATCTAACGCTAATATATCAATGGGTTTGCCTATGATGGAGGATATGGAGGGCGTTGTACGTCCGAATTCGCCATGAACCAGCTCCTTGATATATGTGCCCGCCTGGCTGACCACATCGATGATAAGTAAACGCCGATTCTCCCGGCTTACATACGCCTTGACGCTATATATGGAGCGAGGCCGGGTGTGGAGCGGCCTGCGATGCAGGACACGAATGGGCGTCTTTTGTTGTATGATAAAACTCTCGGAGATTTGCAGCTTCTTCAAAATGTCCACTGTCACCGGCTCGTCGAGCACGCAGAGAGCGCGATAATATTTTCGCTTCTGCTCCTCACCAGTCTTGATGTGCGTCAATTGCTCGCGCGGCACCACTTGCAGATTATGAATGGACACCTTGCCAGACTTATCCACAGCCAGCTCCATTTCTCGGGCTTGCTGCCGGCTGAAGCTGCTTCGCTTCGCATCCATTATTTCCAGGACAAACGGCCGCCCCTTGCCCAAGCAGCGCACGTCCACGTCCTCTCGCCCACTGGACATGAATGTCACCTTGCACACCGTATCGGTGAAATGTGGCGCCACCTGTTTCACAATGATCTCCTCAATACTCTCCTCCATAATCCGTCTGCCGTGCAGGATCCACGGCGTATGCGAAAGCTCCCGACTCAATTTCCGATATCTACCAGCGACACAGACAATGGGACCCATTAGGTCGATGGACTGCAGGTGCAGGGGTTCCTCAACAGCAGCCGGTGGTATGGCCAGATATTGCTCGAAGAGATCAGCCTTAATGCGTGCCGGTTGGTATTGTTTTTCCAGCAATCCTCGCGAGATTTCAATGCGTTTCTTGCCCGGAAACGCGACTCGATGCAAGTCGGTCAGCTTGGCCACCTCCTCGGCTTCGACGCTGTGCCGCACATCAATGTTGATCATCAGCCCGTTGGCATCGTATTCCCTGCCCAGCTTCGAGCACACAATGGGATGCAGAATCAGTTTGACGGCCTCCTTGATGGGCACATCCGGGGCAGAGTTATCATTGAAGGAGCTCTTGCCGAATTTCCGCTGTAGGGCGAACCACATAGACAGCTGGCGCAGCTGTAGTGCCAGCGGCAGCGATATAGCCAGGACAATGCCCGCACTATCATATTTGCCGAAATCCGATTTGGAAATGCCATCAATTAACTGATTTTGAAACTCCTCCGAGAACAAACCCAAACAAGTGGAGCAAATGCTTAAGCGGGGTTTTTTTGGTGGCTGTTCATCCGGCTCATCCACTGACGGCTTTAAATCGCTGTCATCGACTTTAACATCCAGCTAGAATCGAAATTTTCTGTATTTTTTAAGCCGCTTGCATTTCTTGAAATGTGTTTTGCTCACGCGCTGAAAGGTTTGCTGCATGTTACGATATTCGTTGCCGCGTGCTTTCAAATAGCGCAGCTGACACACGCGACAGACGCCACAGCTTGCCAAATAATCTACAAGATCCTGATTCTTCATTTTCCTTTAATACTTTATTCAAATTAAATTAAATAAAAACAATTATAACTTAAACTTTGCGATGTAAACAAAACGTGCTAACAAAGCATCGTTTGTGAACACTGTTTTAAATACTACACTTTATATATTTTGGCGCTATTTGTGTTTAGTACTTATCATAAAATACTGCACTCGATTTGTTTGTGGATCGACAGCTGGGTTTTTTTTAGTGTGACCAGCTGTGCTGCCCTAATTTATCGGCTGTCTATTGTCAAATATTTCTATTTTTCTTTTGATTACGATTTAAGGTGCGTTTAATCTGTCATAAATACTTTTTGCGACGAAATAACGTCTAAAGCATCGTTCAAGCAACTGCAAGTAAAATTAATTGGTTTTACAAGCAAGTGAAAAGCATTGTTATTGTTACGTCACATAGTGGCAAAAAAATTCATCAATTGGAATATGCGATTGATATAAATATTTATTATATATTTAGGAGCTGCCGAGATGTCGCTGTCGCCCTTCCTGCGTCTGCCACTCACAGATTTGACCGGTTGCCTAATCAACCATCAGACCTACGACAAATGCGGCAATTTCGAAATGAAAATGATGGACTGCCTGGAGGCTTACGGCATGGAACGCGGCAAAAAGCAATGCGCCGACCTGATTGCCGACTTCCAGGAGTGCGTGGGCATGCAGAAGCAGTTGCTGCGCTTCCATGTAAGTTTGCATTATCGCAAATGGAAAGCTGATTATTCATTTGAGCCTTTTATGTTTCCCTTCAGGCTATGCGCGCGGAGCGCTACAAACAGTGGCTGTCCGGTGAGCGCAAGCGGGAGGAATTGTTTGCCGAACCACCACGCGTTGATGCATATTAAAGGAATCATTGCTTGTGTAGCTGAAATATGTTTTAAATAATAAAATAAAATGGAAAATTATGCTAATATGTAAAAAGATAAAATTGATTTAGTTTTGTTGTTTTGGTATTTTGCCAGTGTTGCTTAGGCTATGCTTTACAGCACTGCTAATAGTTACTTTTCAGCGAGTTGTCAACTCTGGCATTTGTTTTTGCGGCTGAAAAGTCGCTCGCGTACGTTTAATTAAATTTTCTTAAATAAAATGGCCACAAAACGACCCAATAATAGTGTGGTGCTATCGCAAGAGCCTAAGCGCAGCAAAAATGACATTGTCGCATATACAAATCGGGATAAAGCGCTACTGGAATCGGTAAGCTGAAGAAGAAGAGGAAGCAGCGTGTTTTGGTGTGGATGATTTTTAGAAGCTTGCCGAGATTATTAGACAAATGAATAAAAAGCAATGAAAGTTGGGAGTGGAGGAGCACAACTCTTGTAGAATGAAGAGGGCTTGAACCATATGAGCTATGAATGGGTATTTACAGTGGAACGTATATAAAGAGTGACGACTGTCCCTTGGCGGCTGTCGGCATTCTGTGGCTCTGCTGCTATTCAATCTCAACGCTTCAACTTTGTTTTCATCCAATGTAATTTCAGGGTGTGCGACGCACCTCCAATCTGCAGGCGCCCATTATGCAGCTTGAGGGCCATGAAGGCGAAATATTTACGACAGAATTTCATCCGGAAGGCGAAATGCTGCTCTCCTCCGGCTTCGACAGGCAGCTGTGTAAATGAGCAACAATAAATTATAGATATATATATTCCAGTTAGACTAAACTATATTCCATTTCTAGATATCTGGCAGGTGTATGGCGACTGTGAGAACATAATGGCAATGTCGGGTCACAGTGGTGCCGTCATGGAGGCACATTTTACGCCGGATGGCTCGCATATATTCACCTGCTCCACAGACAAAACGCTGGCCATTTGGGACATCGTGACGGGTCAGAGAGTGCGACGCCTGAAGGGCCATACGAACTTTGTGAACAGTGTGCAGGGCTCGAGGCGTGGCCAGCAGCTGTTGTGCTCTGGCAGCGACGATCGTACCATACGCATTTGGGACGCACGCAAAAAGCAGCCGGTACACGTCCTGGAATCACCTTACCAAGTGACAGCCGTCTGCTTTGGCGACACCAGCGAGCAGGTCATCAGCGGCGGCATCGACAACGAGCTGAAGATCTGGGACATACGCAAGCAGCAGGTGCTGCACCATCTGCGTGGCCACACGGACACAATCACAGCGGTCGCTCTGTCCCCGGAGGGCGACTTTGTCCTGACCAATGCCATGGATAACACGCTGCGCGTGTGGGATGTGCGCGCCTATGCGCCCGGCGAGCGTTGCGTCAAGGTCTTCCAGGGACATCAGCATAACTTTGAGAAGAATCTGCTGCGCTGCGCGTGGGCGCCGGGTGGCGATAAGATCAGCGCCGGCTCAGCGGATCGACATGTCTACATATGGGACGTGAATACGCGGAGAATACTGTACAAGCTGCCCGGACACAATGGCAGCGTGAACGATGTGGACTTCAGTCCCAAGGAACCTCTCATATTGTCCGGCTCAAGCGATAAAACTTTATATCTGGGCGAGATTGAGGATTAGCTACGGTAGAAGATTTCAGAATTAGCTGTTAGATTTGGCAGTTGAGTTAGTGAGATTAAGCAGGTGTTGCTGATCGAGATTGTGTGTGAAGAGATAGTCTATTTATATTGATCAGGGTAACCTACTGATTCCTTCCTTCATTGATTGAGCCAAGATTCAATATCAACTGTTGATCTATTCAAGACGAATTGCTTCTCTCCATCTTTATACGACTCATATACTAATTTGTATATTTAAACAATTTCAAGGCCCAGTTCTTCATGCTCACATCTAGGACTAGCTACTTATACTACTTCCAGCTAATTCTTAGATCTCATCTGAACAACTTACAGTCTTAAGCAATCCTCGACTTCTATCACAAATAAGTTTTATTTTTCTGCATTGTCATAACGATTAATAAATAATTTGAATTGTATAATTTGTAAAATTGTTGTTGATTTTTTGGTACGAGCTCAAACGGGCAGCGCACTGGACGAGCTGGAGACGCTGCTCTTGAAGAGCTGGCCAAAGAACTTGAGGCCCGTCGCACCGCCCGGCACCATGCCCAGCAGCATGAAGAGCAGCGTGATGATCTGGCCGACGGCGAAGAGCACCGTGAAGGCGGTGCTCTTGGCCACCAGCGCAAAGTAAAGCGTTGATGTAAGGCACGCGCTGTATGAGATGGAGGTGACGAGGCGTGGGCGCGAGAACATTTGCTTGAAGAATGCCTGAAAGCCGATGAGGAAGCAGAAGCTCAAGATGAAGAAGAGGCTGCCCAGCGTGAAGAGCAGCGCAAACTTCGGCTTGAGCATCAAGACTGGAATATAGAGCGTGGAGAGTGTCATGCAGAGGCAGCCCATGCCCAGGCAGGCGACGAAGCCAACAATGCGCTGCAGACGGGACTGTGAAGCGAAATGGCATTTATGTATGGCCAATCAATTAGTCAGTTCATCGTCATTTACCAGCTTGGGGCAGCAGGAGTCCTGTGTGTCCTTTAGCCAACTGTTTGCCTCGGGCTGTTCGCTTGTGCGCGAAAAGATTTGCGCCAGCCCGGGCATTTTAATCTGTGGCAGCTTGACATTGAAGTTCTTCTTTTGGTCGCTCTGCAGTAGTAAATACTCATCGAGATCCTGCTTTAAGTTGCTCATTGAATTGAGTGCCACCGCATAAATATTTTTAATAATCGTCAATGATTTTGTTTACTGCCAACCCGACAGTCAACCAGCTGTAAATTAGGTTGGCAGCGCTGACTAGTGCTGAGATGCACAAACGAAACTGGCGCGAAATATTCCGAAATTCGAATACACAATAAATTGTTTTTATTGTGTTTACTATCAAAGCAACATATAAATTTCTATAAAAACAATTTGGCAGCACAGGCAACGGCTTTCACTTTATAGCGCCATGTAATAAAGCCTTATAAAAATAGCATTTAAAATAATATGCTTACACATTTTCTAGCTTATATTAACATTTGCATTTAGGTCTAATACATTAAACGCAATTGACTACTTCTATTATATCTATAATTTGTGTGTTAAATTATCAACTTCTTCACCGTCTGACGTCACAAATGCAAAAGGCCATAGCGGCACAGCACTCATGCGTTGCCAGCGCAGCTCAATTCAAAAATACACCATTTCTTCCCCTCTCAAGTTGTTGGCGTTGCCACATTGTTGTAAATGCCAGCCATCACCGTTCAAATCTGGCAACCCGCTATTTCTTTCAGTTTCAGTTGAATTTTTGTCGTGGTCGGTTCGTTGTCGCTGCGCGCGCGGCAAATATGTAATTAAACTGAAATAAATTACAAGCCAGAAATTGATAATATTCAAAACGCCGAACACACGCCGAAGTTAAATATTAAATTGAATTAATTCGCATTATAATATTGATCAAAGTAAATCGCGCCCTCCGCTTCCCCCGCCCTTCTCGCAAATACAAAACGTCGTGATTCCATGCAAACGGCTCTTTGGCTCTTCTATTTATGCAAATTGTATAAATGCATATATGAGAGTGTGTGCGGTTTCGGAGCGTACGCGCGCTTATGTGTGTGAGAGTGTGTGCGCGATTGTGTGTGCGTAAGTTGATGCATGTGTATGCGTGTAGGCAATTGTGTTTATTTGGGAAAACGCATTAATTACACAAATACAAATGCAAATGCGAATGCGAGTGCAAATACAAATACAACAACAAATGTAAATACAAATAAAAATACAATCAAACACAAACAAAAACAATACGTAAAAGCAGCACCAGCCGCCGACAAAAGCCAAAAAAGTATTTTCAAACGCAATCGAAATACAAAAGATAAATACAAAAATAATTCTAATACGAAAAAGAAGAGAAAAAAGCTGAGCAGCAAATTTTTTATTGTTTTTTGCGAAAATTTGGGAAAAATAAATTACAAAAAGTAAAATGCATTTGTGTTGGGTTTTTTGTTGTTGAATCGGATTCAACAAATTGCCCAAATTCCAAGTGAAAATCATCGATAAATGAAGATTCACGTAAATTATTAAAAATCCTTTGACTCCCGGCTCGCAGCGAACGTTAAAACGGGATCGTTTGGAGGTCTTTGAAATTTATAAAGAGAAAAGAAAATGCTGAAATTTCAAATACAGTCCAAAACGATTGGGAAATAAACGACGATCGCCAACTGGAAATGGTGTAAGTATGGAGGACTGGAAGGCTTTCGTACTGGAAGCAATGCAAAGCTGATTGTATTTTTAATTAAAAAATAACACTAATACGTCATATTTCTTATTCTTTGCAGCTCTCAATGCAATTGGTAAGGAAATAAATCAGCAACTGGAATCAAAAATTTATAAAACACAAGTGTCAAAAATATAATATGAAAATGTTTAATTGGCAAAGCCAAAAGGAAAGTGTTGCAAAGTGTTTAAAAAAAAGAGCAAATTTTCTGTTTTAAAGTGTTTAAATAAAAAGTTGAAACTAAATTTAAAGTCGGCCACACAAAGCTTATGCTAATTTTTCTAATTAAACAAAGAGCACAACTAAAATTATATAGAATGTTGTATATGTGTATGTAATATACATATAATTGTATATAAGCATGTATGCGTTTGTGTGTGTGTGTGAGTGTTTGTGCATACGCCCAGGACTCGATTCGTTGGTTTCTGTGGAGCCGATCTACAAAGCTGCGCAGCACAAAGAAAAATGGCACAGCGATTGGGACAGAGGCAGAGGCAGCTCCAGTTTTGGGGCCTGGGGGCGCTGCGGTCGCTGTCGCTGCCGACGTCGTCGACATCGTTGTTGTAGCAGCAACAACAGCAATTAACTCGAAAGCAAAGAATTTCATCAGAAATTCAAAGCAAAAATAACGAGGCAGCGGCAGAAGCAGCGACAGCGACAGCGGCAGTGACGCCAGCAGCGGCTACAACAGCGACGTTTAAATTGTTGTAGCAAAAATCCAGGCTGACAGCTCCCCCTCAACGAGTTGGCAGCAGCAACAACAACAACTAACTAACTAAAAGTAACATGGCGCTGCCTCAGCATATGTATTAGTGTATATATTTATATATATGTATGTGTGTGTGTATATATTTGAGCCCCAACAGCGAACAACGCAAATAAAGCAGTGAGAGCGAGTGCGCAGATATGCGCAGTGTGTGTGCAAACGAGATGGCGCTATGGTATGGAGAGAAATTGTCGTGTCGCGTTTTGCTGTAGCGTCGTTGTCGCTCGACGTCGTTTGTCGCTCGTTCAAAAATCGATTCAGCTGCACGAAACGAGAACGCGCGCGTGCGAGCGAGAGATCCAACTATGGGACTGGGACTATGAGTGCGAGCGAGCTGCCGGATGCAGTAAAACAACAACGAACAAAAAAAAAAACTTATTTAACCCGTTTCGTGTGCGTGCGCGTGCGCCTGTATGGATGTGTGCATATATACGTGTGTATGTATGTGTGTGTGTGAGCTGCTAGAAACTACGTTGTACGACAAAAACTACAAAAGTTTCTGTATAGTTGGTGTTGGAAGCGTCGCGGCGTGTGGTGGCATCCGCAGCCGCCCCGCATCGTTCTGCCCCCCTCCTCTGGGACAACATTGCAAATGCGGTCGTCGCACGACTATACAACTGTATATGTGTGTATCTGTGAATGCGTGTGTGTGTGTGTGTGTCTGCTTGTATGTGTGGTCACGTAGCAGCGCTACAAAAATGACTGCATAGTTCGCTGACTACAAAGCGAAGAAGAAGAACAAACAGAAAACTGGTTTGGTAGCTTCTTCTGCCGCAGGCTGAGCAGCAGCAGAGGCAGAGGCAGCAGCTGCTGGCATATTAATGAAATTCGAATTCTAGCTGAAGCCACAGCCAAAGCCGCCTCTTTTAATGGGATTTTGCAAAATATCTATAAATGGCCACAGCTTTTAGCCATAAATGTCGCAGTTGCTGTAATATTTAAGCCAAATACGTTTTTCAAACGGCCACAAAAACCAAAATGGCTGCCATACAAAAGACGAAGCAACGAAACGGACAGAAAGAGAGATAGAGTGAGATAAACGACAGAGACGCACAAATTGAACAGAATTTGAATTTAGTTTTTTTTCGGGTTTCTTTTCGATTTTATTCCTTCTGATTATAAATGTATTTTCGAAATTCTTTGGTAGATAGATTTTTGCACACGTCGACAAAGGCGGAAAAAGCTCTAGCCCAAAGCAAACAGCAATAGCAGCAACTGTAGCAGTAGCAGCAGCAGAATTAGCAACAACAAAAATAATAAAGCGATTTTGAACCGCACCCCACCAGGCATACAAAGCGACTGATGCGCAGCAGAGACGATGCTTTAGTACAGCCAGGCAGGCAGCGACAGAAACTTTCACGATCGATGCGACGTCGACGTCGGCACAGCAATCAGCAATGGCCGCCGCCATAAGCTCTCCAACTGGGGCCTCTCTCTGAATGGGTGTGAATGCAGCAGCAATAGCTTTTTTGTGTGTGCGAAAGTGAGAGAGGGAGAGCGCTTAACGCCCGCTAGCGTCTGCGCGTTTTGTACAGGCAGCAGCAGCGACGACAGCGCACACACGCAAACAAACACACATGATGTAGGTTTAGCACACACATACACGAACATAAAGTATTTTTATGGGCTTCATTTTGGGTGTAGTTGTGATTTCCTGCTGCGCCCCAAAAGTCGTATAAAGGGCCCCCAAAAACGTAGCAAATGGCAAAAGCAGCAACAACAACAATAGGAGCTACAAAACTACATTTTATGCATGGCCATATCACAACGTCGTCATCGTCGTTGGCTGAGAAAAAAAACGTGAAATAACAACGCGCGTTCCCAAAGCACCCCTCACACACACACACACACATGCATACGAACTGTATGTACACATGACTACATAACCATTTAAAAATACACAGCAGCAGCAGCAGCAGCGACGGACAACAACAACAATGACGAACGAACGGCAAAAACAAACTCAGAAGATACTCGTTTTTCCATGCCATGCCCAGGCAGAGGCAGAGACAGCAGCAGCAGCAGCAGCAGCAGCAGCAGCAGCACAAAAAGTACCAGCTATAAATTCTTTATGTACATAAAAGTACATAACACAACACACACACATACTCACATTCATGCTCACTTACAGGAATACGTTTATGTGTATGCGTGTGTGTGCGCACTGAAGCAGCAACAACGGGCCATTAAAACCTGTCGCTCTATCTCGCTCGCACAACAGGCACCCCACTTTGCGCTGTGTATGTGTGTGTGTGTGTATGTCAGCATGTGTGCCTGTGTGAGTAGTAGCTATAACAACCACGTCAGACAGCGCAGCAGTTCAGTGCAAACGTCAATTATAAGCAAACACACACAAATGGCAACGTTGCCAAACTTCACACACACATACGCTACGCAGCGTGTACAAGCATAGAGCGAGTGAGGGAGAGGGAGAACGCTCACGTCTCGCATTAGTCAGATAGTGTGAGCGAGAGCTGCTGCTGCTGCGGCGACGGCGACGTTGCCAAACTTCACACCATCAACAAAAGGCAGCATGAATGTTGTTCTTGTATTTCCATGTTGCCTGCTTTTTGGAATTTTAACATGCGCCCCGCTTGGCTTGGCTCGGGCTGGATTTCTTTTCTTTTTTTTTTTCGTTTTCCTTATTTATTTTGTTGCTGTTGTTGTTTTTGGCCGGTTTGTGGATTGATGGCGTTGTGGTTCTTGGACCCGGTCCGGCTGCCTGCTTCACTGTAACGTTGACTGGATTATAATAACTCGCTGTCGCTGTCGCAGTCGACGTTGACGTCGCTGCTAGCATTTTCCACCTTATACTGTGCTTGCTGTTGCCGTTTGTACAGAAAGGAAATGCGCGCTGCAGAGCCGTACCCCAGACCCTATTACTTATATAGATGGATATATATACATACATATATGTATATGTACATACAGATAATATATATGTATGACTGTATATAGAGACTACACGCGATAGTCTTTATATGCAGCCCCTGTCCAGCGCCTTGCCTTGCCTTTTAAATTGAGCGCAAAGATCTTGCGTATCTCATAGATACAATTTATATGTATATACGAATAAATATGTATATTCTGGTTGACCGCCCTTATTGAAATTTCAATAAATTTAAATTGCTCTCTAGTTGAATTAAATTAAAACATTTCTGTATATTTTTAGTGCTAAATTAACATAAATTGGCAAAAGCTTTTGTTGTTGCGCTCACATAAAATGATAAAAGGAAAAAAGAATAAAAAAAAAAATTAAGATAAAAAGTGCTTAAATTAAAGTTGAAAAAGTGCGAAAAGTGTCTTCAGAAATGCTTAAAATATATATAGAAATATATTTAATAATTGAATATATTTAATAATAATCATACTATATGCTTCCCCCACTCAATCTATATCTATTTACAGCCCATGCTAAATAAGCAGTTAATCCAATCTAACGATCGATTAATCGATCTGTTGTGTGTGCGAAAAAGCAAAATAAAGCAAAGAAAATGCAAGAAATCTAATTGAAAATCCAAAATATTCCGAATCAAGTGAGAAAATTCAAATCAAAAAAGAAAAAAGAAAAAGTATCTCGAAAATGTGCGAGTGAACGAGTTGAAGATATCTATTAAAATCCGCCGTTAAGCAAAAGCTATAGAGTTAATGCTCTCTCGCAAATCGGGATATTTGTTCAATGGGAGGAGCGCGCCCATTTAAAATTATGCGCCTCCACAACGGCATACGAGAAATGCTATATAGATCGTGATCGTAAACGAAACATGGTACGCGACAGCAGCCGTAACATTTGTTTTGGAAAATTAGCCGAAACTACGCAGCAGCAACAACAACAAATCGCCGTGGATAGTAGCAGCAGCAACAACACCAATAACAACAACAACAACAACAACAATAATAATAACAATAATCAGAAACTACGCGATACATTAAAAAGGTAAGCAAAAGGATCTAAAGATAGAATACTAATAGAAATGTAAGCTAATGGAAATAAAAATGCCTTACTGACATTCATTAGAAGAGGCTGGAAAGCGTGTTTCATTGGAACATATTGGAATCAACTAGAAAGCGCTCCGATAGACTATATTATGATATGACAGAGAAAATGGACTCATGAGAAAGTAAAAAAAGAAATAGATATTTACGTTCAAGTAGAAAGAAACATTCTAGACTAAATTGGAAAACTAATTGGAAATATCTGATAAGGTGAAATTGTAATAGAAGTTTAAGCAAAATAAAAAAAGGAATTAAGATAGAAAGCAACATATTTAATAGTTATTTTAATTTAAATATAATGTTATGGAAAGATATGAAAAATGTGATGCGTGAAAGGTTTCTATATTTATTTTTAATTTAATTTTAATTCAGATTTCCTAAATAAATATGTATGTATTTTCCCATCGTTTAGATACTATACAATTTTTTAAGATTCTTAGGGATTTTACAGAGAACACTTAAGATACTCTGATGTATCTCAGATATACCACCTAGGTTTCCATTTGAAAGAGTTTGACAGTTGGATAGAAGTTGTAGTAACTAACAATAGATACTTCTAAAAATAACTACAGATAGACTTATTGTAGATACATATAAAATAATATTTTTTAAAGTTGGGATACGTCTCTGACAGTACATTAAAAGTATCTAATAAAAGATATTACACGCAAGAGACGTATCCCAAGATATGTATCCCAAATTTATATGATTATTCATTAGATACTTTCATGTATGCCAGCTACTGCCATAAGATACATCTATATATGCAGTCCAGATACTTTCAGATACAGTTGATATGCCAATATCTTGTACAACTATACTTTCAAATAATCTCAGATACATATATTCATGCATCCCAGCTCAGATACATTCCCCCCATTTACCAGGAATATTCAAGATACTTTGGAATTTTTCCGGCTGTGTAAATCTCTCTCGTAGTTAGCTGGAAGTTTTCCTACGTGGAAGCAGCCAAAGATGCGTGTCTAGAAATGCAACTCAGCCCAGCTGCAGCTGCGTAGGCCCTAAAGCCAACTAACGGTTGACACAAAGCCAAAAAAAAAAAAAGTAGAAGAGAAGAAAAAATAAATATAAATGAAATGCAAAGTATCTCGAGTGGCTGCGCGTGGGTCTTGGCGCGACTCGAGACTCGAGATTTGAACCTCGAGCTACTTGCAGCGCCCACTGGCCGCAGTGCGTCTTTGTTGTTGTTGTTGTTGTTGTGCTTATCCGTCACGGGGATCTGTGACACGTTGACTGCCTGGCTGCCCAAAAGTATCTCAAGATGCAGCTTAGCTGCACTCGTATCTGTTAGCTACAGCAATGCGTGCAAGTGGCCCTGCCTAAAGAGCCAAACGCGTAACGTTTCTACCTTGACTTGTCGTCGCATCTTACCTGCCTGCCTGCCAGCCTCTGTGTGTCTTGGCCAACTGTGTGGCGACGTGTACAGTAAAATCGACACGAGACGGACATGTGGCCACTGTCGTCGTCTATTTTGCGTTATTACGTAATTTCGTACACAATTTTTATTTTTGTTGTTTTGCTGCTTATTTTTCTTTTGGGCAACACTAGAATTGTGTGCGTGTGTGTGTGTGTGTGTGTGTGCGTGTGTGTGGCTCTTAGACGCCTCTGTCTGCCTTTCATTTGTGTTCGTGTTTGTTCTCGTGGCCAAAACAAGTTTTGTGGCCATTTGTTGTTGTTTCAGCCTCTCTATATGGACATGTATATATTTATTTATTTATTTTGTATACCCTGCAAGCCAGAGAGACACGGCAGGTGTATAGCAATTGGATAATAATAATAGTAAAAATGTGAATATTTAATATTTAAATTTTAATATAAAACTATTTATTGAAGCGATTTAGCTCTTTGATCGATGTAGATATAGGGTAACTGGCTAGTCGTGCACTCTTGTAAAACACCAATTCTTGTTCTTTTATTTTATTTGTTGTTGCTTTTGTTTTTCCCCTTAATTTTTGTTGGGTGCAAAAGTCGCCGTCTAATTGCTTCATTAGCCAAAAAAAATAAAAAATAAAAATAAAAAATTAAAATAAGAAATAAAAGAGGCGAAATATATGTTTTCGGCTGGCCAAGTCATTAAAGCGGTGCATTAAACCCGCATCAATGTCAGCACAAAACAACAACCGCAAAACAACAACAACAACAATTGCTAGTTGTCGGTTAATTACAAGACAATCAACAGCAACAACAGCATAGTAAAGAAAAAGTAACAAAAAAAAAAAAAAATTAAAAAAAAAAACCAGTCGACAGCTTTTTGACATTGACAATGAACTGCAAAGAGTGTGGAGCAACAACAACAACAACAACAGCAACATACAACAAACAGTAGATAACCAGAAAATAGTTATTGTTGTTAGCCAAAAAAAAATAGAAGAAGAAAAAAAAAAATAAACGAGAAAAACAAAATGGTGCATAGGCAGATTACGCAGACAATTTTATAAAGAATTCGTACATTTGTATCTGCGGGATACAACAAATCACAGGAGCTACAAATTAGCAAGCTGTGCGGGCTGGCTGAGTGTGACTCGAGAGGGAGATACCCTGTAAAGGCATGCAATGTGTGAAGCATGTTGAGTATCTGGAATATATCAAATAAATGTGAGGGAAGAAAAATTCAATAATTAAGGAATATCCACCACAAAGAAAAAGCTCGTTTAGCTTAGCTTTTAAATATTTTAATTAGTAATGAAGGACCCATCAAACTATTTTAGTTGATGAAGGTGTGAATGCCTGAAGGAAAAACTTTTAGGCAAACATAGGAAAGGAAAAATATGAAATGAAATAAATAAATACGGTAGATTCTCCATAATTTGTACCCCGCTAAATAAAAAATCGCGATAAATCGAAAGAAGTTCTATCCCTTAGAAAAAATTCGTTTTCGATAATTCTCGATAGTTGAAATTTCTCTGTAAATCGAAAAAATTTTATCCCCTTGCCATTTCGAATTATCGGGGCTTAACTGTAGTTTATATTAAGATTATTTTCTATTTATATTATATTAAAAAAATAAAATAAAATAGTAAAACAAAATAAAATGATTAAAATATATATTTTTCTTGATGTATCCCATGTACTTCTAGTATTACAGGTTACGAACAGATATAGCAGATAATGCTATAAGAGATTTTCATAATAATGCTGTGAATACGCCGTGATATGTTTTCCTATAACTTAACTTCCCTCAGACATTTTGACATTTTCCAGCTAGTTACATTTAATATAATATTAATAAATAATAAAATAATATTTATTAGCTTTCCCAGATATTCTTTTCAATATTCCACCTACTGTTCAGGATTTTTTTTTTTTTTTTAATGTACAATATATAAATGAATATATATTGTACATTAAAAAAAAATCCTCCTAGCATCTGTAAAAAAATTCAAAATGAAATAAAAAAATAATTCAAGAATATGTAAGAAAAAGGTATATATTTGTAATTATATTTGTATCTCTATTAAATAAACTTTCACTGTACTTACTTATATTTATTATTTAGTTCTTATAAATATATCTAAATATTTATATTTCGTTTTTGTCGGTGAAGTTATGGTTTATTATAGTGGTAATGAGAGGATTATTCAACTATAAATATAAATAATAATAAATATAAATAATAAAAAAATGATTGTATAACATTTTTTTTTTTTATTATTAATTACAAATGTTTTAAAATGAGCAACAATTTTTGTGCTTGATTTAAATTAAGTTTTTGCTAAACAAGTTTTCATTTTTCATATCTAATATTTATTTGTTATTGTTTTTTTTTTTTTTTTCAAAATTCAATTAACTGAAAATCGTGTTTGGCTCTTTAACACACATGAAATAAAAATCTTGAAAATTTGTTACAATGCAAAAAAAAAAAAAAACAATAACAAAAGGTATCAGATTTTGCTTTGCTTGTTGTTGTTGTTGTTTTGCGAGCATTTGACTTGTTTCAATGTCATGTTACATTTAATTTGTTGTACATGTATGTATGTTTGTATATATGTATGAATATATATATATATATATATAAACGATCTATTTGCTTGTGTTTTTGTTTTTGCTTTCAATGTTCTTTTTGGCATTGAGAATGTTTTGTCTGTGGGGCAAAGCCAAAAAAGTAGATTAGATAGAGAAAACGAAATGAAACGACACAAAACGAAACGATATGAAATGAAAACGAAACGTAACTACTAGCTAGAATATTATAGACTAGAAGCTAGACAGAGGGGAGGGGGGGGGAGGGGGTGGGGGACGTCGAATGGGCAGCTGCATTTGTAATTGCGTTCGCACGCAGATACAATTCCAATTTTATTATGCTCTACTTTGTTGCTATTTTTTGAGAACAGAAAAAAATCAAGAAAACCGAAAAGTGAAATAAATTGAGAAAAACTCTTATCTTTGGCCAGGCCTTACTAAAGTTATATAAAAATAGAAAATGGAAAATGCTAATTAATTAATTCCTATTGATTTTGTAGAATCTTTTTGATCAAGTGCATGAAAAAGTTGTAGGCGTGGCCATAGTTTACACATGTTCTTGGTCGAGAGATTGCTAGCAGAGTGGCTGTTGAACCAGCATTACGTTCTATTTGGAGGCCTTTAAAGAGCCATAAGAGATCGATACAAATTGCAATCGATAATTCATCGATAACTGTAATCAAATTTGGGATCATCACATTCATTTTATTAAATCGATAAATAAAGATATAGTCGCTCGGTCAATTTAAAATTGGTATGTATATAGGGTATTATTAGTGATATATGTAGGTGTGTATCACATTTTGGATACCTCATATCAATGGAATGCCAAAATTCAACTGGCTTCAACGTTGTTCGGTATATTTTGCAGGGTATCTGCTAGTCGTACATGCTAGATATTTATTGTAATCTAATGTTGAATGGTTCATTTATTTATATATGATGTGCGCTCATTATGCTGAGTCACGGCATTTCTCTTGCTCATATTTCATTGAACCCCGTAGAGTTGTTAGAGTACTGCAATGTATTTAATTGTAATAATTTTGTTATATAATAAACTATCATGATTTAACTGAAATATAAACAAAAGGCTGATATAGAATATATTATAATTTTACAATAATATTTATTAAATTTGGTCAAATTTATAATGAAAAATCAAAAATATTATGTATGTATATAAAAGAAAAATAAATGTAAAATATATGTATATAGAATCCAATTAAGGTGCGATGCAGTCATCAAAGGTTTCTATTTTTAGTTAAAGAACTTAAACTTTTTAAATGCTGTATATTATTTAATTATACTGCCTGCTCAGGTACATATGTATATAGATATATACCTATATATCTACTGTGGGAGCAACAGCTAAGCGGCTTAGTCATCGCAACTATTTTTCCAATTTGTGTTGCCGATAAGAAAAAAAAAAAAACAGTAAAAAAGTTAAAAAAAAAAAAAACAAAAAAAATTCAAATATATTTCCGACTTTTGCCTTTGTTGTGAACATGTGCAAAATGTATCTATGAAGTACGTTCAGGAACGCTTCATAGCGGTTGTTGTTGTTGTTGTTGTTGTTACTATTGCTGTTGCATTTTGGAGTACAGCCTTTTTGTGGTTGTTGTTGTTGTATTTTGCAAGTCGTGCAATTATTTGATTATTATTTGCATTGTTATTGCTTCCCATTGTTGTTATTGTGTTTCGTAATTCCATATGTCGACGACGACGACATCGCCAGCAGAAGGGAACGTGACAACGTCGCGTCGCAGTCGACGTCGACGTTGTCGTTGTCTGGCAGCGATGCGATAACTCAATTTTGTATGGGAAATTAGAAAATTCCCAAATAATTTCACACTCGAGTTGATAGGGTCCAGGCATGTGTGTGTGTGAGCGAGAGGTGCTGGGGACATTTGAGCGCAACGTTGCCACACTTCACAAAAGGTGCTAACAGAGACAACAAACTAAGACAAAGAAGAAGATTAACATGGAAGAGCACAAGCAGAGACAGAGGCTGAGGCAGCAGCAGCAAATCGATTAATATACCAAAAGAGCTGGATATATGTTATTACCTGTTACCAATGAAACCAGTTGCTGGCCATAATATTGTTGTCGCTGTGACGTTTGCCGTGCTAAGAAGAAGAACCGGTTTGTAGCTGTGTTGTTTGTTGGCTATCATTAAACAGCGATCAGGTGCATACACACACACCTGCACACACAACAACAAAAGGGTATTTTAAAGGCAAGCATACATACATAAATTAGCCATGCTGAGGACTTTGTGTCCTGGAGTAAAATTAACGCACAAACTATGGCTTCAAAGAAACATCACACACATACTTTTTCATACACACGCACAAAAGCTATTCAAGCAGACAGACAAAGCAACACACGCACACACACGCATATGTATTCAGTTAGCTCTCTGCTCGCTGCTGTAGCTGCTGTTAAGGCGGCTGCTGCAAAGCGACAGCGACAAATGTGTGCTGCTGAAGTACGACAACGCCGCACATAAGCGCAGCGGCAGCGCCAGCTGTAGACGCGCGCTGTAGCTTGTTTTTTTCGCACACACACACACACACATATATATATATATATATATACTCTCATACGCTTAGGTCGTGTCTTTGCTTGTTTTCAATTAGAGTTGACTACGGCAAAAGAAGAGAAGAGCAAAAAAAAAAAGCAGTAAGAAAAAATAAAATACAAGCACATCATAGCCGCACACATTGTTGTTGTTGCTGCTGTTTTGCGCGCAACTTGCGAATACGCCGCGCCGCACGTTGTGTAAACATCAGTCGCTGTCGCTGTCGACGTTGGCGTTGGCGTTAACGTTAGCGTCAACGCTCGCCTGAGCCAATTTGAATTTGCAGCCACGCATACACACAGAGGCATACAAATTCACACATACATTTATTTGCTTGCGTGCGCGGTCTCTCGCTCTCGCTCTTGCTCACTGCCTTCGCTGTTTTGGTTTTGTGGTCGCTGCTGCTTTTGTAGGTTTTCTTCTTTTGGCGCAGCGTTTACTTTATTTTTATGCTGGCATTTTTGCGGCACTTGAATTCTGCTCATGTTTGCGTGTTTGTATATATGTATCGGTGTATTTATGCATGTTTGTGTGTGTGCGTGAGTGAGTTTCGCTGTTTGCTGCTGCCTTTTGTCGCTTAATTGCAAATGAGTCATGCACACGTACACACACATACAGGCGCGCATACGCACTCACATATACATGCGCATTATACAAAGTCCGCCTGGCTCAGGCACTTCTCACTCACTCTTTTTTTTTTCACTGTGTGTGCCTCTGTTTGTTACTTTAATCAATTGGACTTTTGCTTTATGAGCCGCGGCAATCCCTCCCTTCGATGCGGCTCTCTCTCTTTCTCTCTCTGTCACTCCTTCCATTCATAGCTCAGATGTTTGGCGACCCCTGCAGGAAACAGACGCTTAATGGCGGCTCCTCGTGATAATAAATAAATAAATAGCCGAGCAAAGTAAATCGCGTCAATGGCGTCTGCTGCTTTTAGCCAGATTAGCTAGACCCCATAGATACATACGTACATACATACATACATACATATACAGCTGTATAAAGATATATGCTATTTCTTTTCCTTTCCTTTTGTTTTCTTCTTTTCACCATCATTATTTTGTTGCTTTTGATTTTCCTGTTTTTGTTTTTCTGACCCATGCAAAAAAAAAAAGAAAAACTGAAGTGGAGAGATCAAAAGCCCAGGCACAGAATTTGTTTCGGGGCCAAGTATTCGCCAAATGTCAAGTTGTTTGGCATAGTTTAAAACCCGAGAAGGCAACAAAGACAAGAACCTGAGAGAAACAAAAATAAATAAATACGAATGAAAAGAAAATATAGTGAAATTTGAATATAAATTAGTTTTGTTATTGTTTGCAGAAGGTAAATAGATATAAAAAGTTGCAGCTGAAAAAATAATTAGAAGCTATAGAAATTTTCTATAAAGTTGCATTGAAAAAAAAAAAAAAAAAAAAAAAAAAAAAAAAAAAAAAAAAAAAAAAAAAAAA